GTGACGGGGTGTTATTGCTCAATGTCAAGTCTTATGGATTTTTGCCAAGCCTCAAGCATGGGACCCTTTCTCTGTTCACGTATCATTTATTTTATATGATCGCAATGTTTCAATCAACTTATATGTATTTTGATTGATTTTTGAGATATCAAATAAATGTATTCATCGATATTATATTGAATATATAGAAAAAAATCACTTAATATTTTTATCTCTATTAATTGAGAATCAAATATATCAAATATGAGATCTCATAAAAAGCATTTCTAATGAAATCGTTCAAGAATATTTTTACTAATTTATCCTTTTTATACACACTATTTATGTAGTTTTCCATCAATACTAAGATTAACAATGAAAAAAGTTTTTTGAAACTTTAATTTACAATATAATTTTACTTTCAAATAATTAATTTAAGGGTCAAAATGGAAAACTTTTAACTAATTCTATCTTAATTTTTGTATATTAACAAGTAATTTGAGACACATATTTTTAGAAATATTGAATTAGGACTTCAAAAATGAAAAAATATATCATTAGTCATGAGCATATTGGGATTCAAATCCTTGATGCTTTTGTGAATCTGACTTAATACGCTGAATGATTACATTAAATAAATAAAGAATCGGTTTTATTAGAGTATACTTTAAAATTGATACTAAGATTCATTTTCCAATATTGTTCTAGTGCTAGGACATTGTTCTATTGGTATGAAAGGATAACACATTGTTTTTCTAGGGATTCGTTATTGGAAACAGAGATGGGAATCAAACTATTTCAACCTTCTTCTTGAACTCAACTTAAACTTTTCATTTGAATTACTTTCGGTTGTGCAAAAATCGAATCGAAGAAAATATTATTGGATTATTGCTATTTGAGTTATTGGGTTAACATGTTTTTAGTGATTTTATTAAAAAGAATTATCGGGTTATCGGTTCGATTTTGGTTTTTAGTATTGGGTAAATCGATAATCAATTAAGACTAACATAACTAGACATTACATCAGTATTCTACACTATAGTCTACACTTAACATTTTACAATATTTCTACTTCACATTAGAAATTTCATATTATATATGTTTTGGCTATAACATGTAGTTGTAGTCTTTGTACTACATCATTATTTTTCTTGTTTAACTATATCAAAAATATTTATAATTGATTTGCTTGTTTCACCGTATCCTGCCTGATTAATTTATTCTCAATCAACAAGATTTTTTTTTTCAAACAATAGCTTTGAACCGAAAGGGGAAAAGTGTATCTTTTCACATAGTTTATCGATCAAACCAACTATTATTATTTTAATTAATATTTATAAGTAAAAGTTAAAAAGAGTATCAGATTTGTGAAATAAACTTGGGGCATGATTGATTTTCATTCGTTCATTTAAATTACCTTTTTATTTATTCGATTAAATTGACAAGTCATATAGAAGCTCTACCCAACAACGAATATTTTAAGTTTGCGATGTTGATAAATAAATAAAGTCAGCTCTGTCCTTTTATATCACGATGACACGTCAACAAGAACATTAAGCTTTAGTATATTTTGTTTCCTACTGTACTTTTTTCATACTTCATATAATACTTTGGTATTTAGGAAGAATCTTACTTTTGAACGATTAACTTATTCGATGCATAGACATAAAAAAAATACTTTTTTTTAACAACATATATTTGTTAACAAGTTGAATATGACATTTGAAATTGGAGTTTGAGATTGAATATGAATAAAATTTGGAGTTAATTTTAAATTTTTGTGAGTAATATGGAATTGATTTTTTTTTTTTGAAAATTAGAGTTGTAATTGGATATGAGTAAAACTTGGAGATAATTTTAACATTTTGTGAATAATATGAAATGAAAATAATTTTTTGAAAATTTTCAAATTTCAAAAAAATTCAGAATCAACTTCTAGTTTAACTTTGAAAAAATATAATAATTTTTTGGATTAAAAAATATATAACAAAATGAAACCAACGGACACTAAAAGTAGCAATATTCTTTAATTGAATTTCTTTATAGTCACTTCTAATTCAATTTCGAAAAATTATAATAATTTTATATTTAAATAATTTTTTAAGTAATTCTTTTCTAAAGAATAAAATAAAAACTACCCATGATAAAACGACCAATAAAATAGCAATATTCTTTAATTGAATTTTTTTATGGTCGGGTGTGACATAATTCAATAACCTTTTACTTTTCTTTCTTCCATTTTCAATTTTCTTTATGGATACCACTCATATTTCACTTATAAATTCTTTAAAGATATACATATATTTTTTTCTACTTCACTTTATCTATCTTACTTTTTCTTCTTAATACGTATAAAAAATCATTTAGCTTAAGATTCAAAAATAACTATCTTTGTCCAAGGAGAATCAATTAACACCCTTCTTTCGCCGAAAAAATTATAGGTCAATTTTTTAATGATTCAATGTATATGTGAAAGTCCTTTAGCAGTATTTATATATTCTACTTCTTTCATATTTTACTTTAATGGAAATTCTAATTTCCACATTTAGTCAAAGTAAAATTTGTGGTCAAACTAAGACACATGTGATGAAACACAAATAAAAGTAATAGAAAAGTGATAAATAGATTAAAAAAATTTTTGTCTTAGTTTATATGATCACTTTTCTTTTTAGTTAGTTTAAAAAAGAATGTCATATTTCTATTTTTAGTAATAATTGAACTTTAAAATGTCTATTTTAATGACTTATTTTAGACCACAAGTTTTAAAAGTCTTTTTTTTCTCTCTTAAAATTCGTGTTAAGTCAAACTAACTCACATAAATTGAGACAGAGAAAGTATATAGTAATTTAAAGTCCACCCTCAATAGAGAAAGTATCGAAGTAAATAATCTATATATACTCCCTCCATTTCAATTTATGTGGTATTTTTCGGATTTCGATATTCAAACAAGTTTATCTTTGATCGTAGATTTTTCATATATCTTTTAAATCTTTTGAATTGTTAATGATTGTGACTTACGTTACTTTTTACGTAGTTTATAAATATATAACTTTCATTTCAAAAAAATTAAAAATTTCACGCGTAAATTTTTTATCAAACTTAAATTATTTGACTCTCAAAAAAAGAAAAGTACTACATAAATTAGATAAACTAAGCCATATGTCATCTCCTACATAGTTTCAAATAACTCTGTTCTCATGCATTAGCTAGCCTTATTTATACTCCACCAATCCCTACCATACCATTACTCAAAATTCATCATATCCAACCAAAAATCTTCTTAGCTTTCTTCTTTTTTTCCAACAAACAACTATGGTTGTTTTGTCTCAACCACTTGTAGAAAACTTTTCACACATTAAAACATGCAAACATAACAACACTACTAGTGATCATGTTTACACTGGTATTATTCCAGTAATAGACTTATTAGACCCTGAAGCCAACAACCTTATTATAAAAGCTTGTCAAGAATTTGGTTTCTTTAAGGTGGTAAATCATGGTGTCCCTATTGAAACAATTACCAAATTAGAAAATGAATCTATCAACTTCTTCAACTTGTCCCAAATTGAGAAAGACAAAGTTGGCCCTGCTAACCCTTTTGGCTATGGTAACAAAAGAATTGGCTCTAAAGGTGATGTTGGTTGGGTTGAATATTTACTCTTCACAACTAATCCTGAACTCAATCACAACAAATCCATCACTATTCCTGGAAATTCCCTTCTCTTTTGGTAAGTACTAACAATTTTGTTCCAATGTTATCTTCCTTTCTTCTCAGGTCAGAATTTTTACTAAAAAGTAAATATATGTGGATGCCAATGAAAGTTGACATTTGTCATATAATATAATTTTCTGGCCATGAGTCCCTTGCACCTCCCTTACTCAGTCAGAATTTTCACTAAAATTTTTTTAAAATATACGAAAAAGTCAAGATGATTTAACATGTTGCATAGATGCATAAGAAAAAAAGAACCCCTTGTGCTCTTGACTTTAACACTATTGACGTCATAATGATCTGATTGTGTAAATATCTTTTAAAGCCGTCAGACAAAAGATATACTCTTATATTTTGCTATTAATTAATTGTTTTTTTTTATGCAGGGGACTTGTGAAAGAGTATATAAGTGCAGTAAGAAATATGGGATGTATGGTGCTAGAAATGATAGCAGAAGGGTTGAATATAGAACCAAAGAATATACTAAGTAGGATGCTAAGTGATGAAAAAAGTGACTCATGTTTTAGGCTAAATCACTATCCACCATGTCCAGAGTTGCTTCAAGCATTGAGTGGTAGAAATTTGATTGGTTTTGGTGAACACACAGACCCACAAGTAATATCAGTTGGAAGATCTAATAACACAAGTGGCCTCCAAATCTCTCTGAAAGATGGGACATGGATCTCAGTCCCACCTGATCCCTACTCTTTTTTCATCAATGTTGGTGACTCATTGCAGGTAATTATTAATTACGAAGAATCTTAGTAGCTCAATTGATTGACTACGCGAATCTGAATTCCCACTTAGTAGTTCATTCCTTTTAGTTTAGAATTGTTGAAAAAATTAACTAACTAGAAAATGCATCTTATTTATATTTCTTGATTCCTTTTAGTTTGTACTTTACTACGTCAGGTTAAGTTACGTACAATAACATATACATATGTAGATAACTCGATTAAATCACACGTATATACGTACTAATAGTGTAACGTTTTGTGGTTGTGGATGGCAGGCAATGAGTAACGGAAGGTTTATGAGTGTGAGGCACAGAGTGATCGCAGATTGTTTGAAAGCCAGGGTGTCAATGGTTTACTTTGGAGGGCCACCATTGAGTGAAAAGATAGCACCTTTATCATGTCTAATGGAGGAACCTAATGAGCAAATTCTCTACAATGAGTTCACATGGTCTGAATACAAGATATCAGCTTATAAGACAAGGCTTGGTGATAATAGGTTGTCCCTCTTTGAAAAGAATGCTCAATCATGACAATATATTGTCAAATATAACCCAACTTAGGAAATTTTACTTAGGATTTTGACACCACTTGCCTTACTTGGAAATGAAAAAAATAGGGTCGTTAATGACTCGGACCAGGTGTTTACGATCTGAGCAACTCTGCTATCAAATATTTTTGTTTTGTTTTGTTTTGTTTTGTTTTGTATCCTTTTTGAGGTTTATGGTTTTATGCCATCACCAACTTTTACTTGTTGTGCTTAATTTGTAACAACTATCCTTGTGATATAAATGCAATGTTATCATCATTATGTCATCACTTAGTATACTTGTTGGATAAAGTTATGGAATTTTCATTTACTTTTTTATGTGACCCCTAAATTGTGGATATTATCAGATAGGGTGGGGGTTGTAAATTTATGGTCTGATCTCATTTCTTCTGTGACCTATTACGCTAGACATTAAAAATGCACATGTTATAGTCTACAAACTAGGTGAATTGAACTCACTTTTTATATAGAAAAAATAAATAGGAAAAAAAAGGATAGGTGACGAATGAGCGTGTCAAGTATTTCATTGGATATTTGTTATCTCTTATTAGCACAATTATCATATGATTTCAACTTTTACTTAGTCGATGTATTTGTATTAATATATAAATATTTAATTATGAACCTGATATGTAAAATGAGCTATGAATTTGAAGGTACATTCAAAACACGTAATGTTAAAATTTCGACTCTAGTGACATATCTTTCTAAGTAGACCTTAGGACTGAATAATTGAAAGGAAATTTAGTTCTTGATTGTGATCCCAAATAGTCCATAACATGCTACTTCTTCTTCCAATCCTCTCTCCTTAAGTTTCTCAATATATACTTGTCTTCTTTTTTTCTTTTAATGAAAATGACATCCATATATTAACAAATTTAATAATAGTGGTCTCTTATTAGGCTTTAGAAAAGGTCACAAATAATAGTAGATAATGTATACAAGGGTAAGTCGTTTTCAACAGAGTTTGGATTGACCATCCAACTGTAGCTTAACTATCCCAATCCATGTTGTGTCTCTGACAAAACATTCTATTGCCATTCAGCAACTTGCTGCTCTTGAGAGAGACTCCATCGGTTCACTTTTACTTGTTTCGTTTGATAAAAAAAATTAGATATATTGCTTTTTTTTTCATATTTCATCCTTAACATCAACTATTTATTATTCAAATCATTTTTTCAAAAGACCTAAAATTATACATCAATTAATATGGATATTGCGGTTATAAAAACTCATATTACTCATTAGTATTTCTTATGAGGCGTGCAAAATTTGAAATGAACAAAAGGAATAATCATAAACACTGGAAAGTATTTTCAAACATAGTGAAATGTTAACAACACACCTAAAGTATTTCAATTTTTAAAATTTTGATTCAAAAGATAGAGATTTCAAGAGATGACAGTATTAGGTGTGCAAATTATTAACATGAACTATCACCAAATATCTATCGAAACAAATTTCAAGTCTTTAACTGTCCGTTGTTCATTTTTCCTACTTGAACAATGATGATTTTCCAGGTAGAAAAAGAAAACTTTCATAAATAATATAGTTGGTAATCGTTTAGATAGAAAATAAACACTTGATAGTTCTGATAAAAAAAACTCAAAAAGTTAAGATACTTTTAATATGTTATTGACCCTTCATTTTTTTAAAATATAAAATTATGGCTATTATTTCCATTTCATTTTGCTTGAAATACTTCCTGTTTTATAAATCTATTCAATTATTAACATCTCAATTGTATATTAATGACATAACTTAACTCAGGGGTCAGGGGCGGAGCTATTGTATTGGAAAGGGGTTCGACCGAACCCATTGGCTTTTCTGAAGACTCTATATTTGAATAAAAAATATGAAATAAAATGTATATAGAAAATTCCTGCGAACCCACAGGCATAATGAAATGATTGGTCTAGTGGTGTTTGCACACTCAGTAAAATCGTTCGGCCCCCATTGGACATGGGTTCGAAACTCAGTATCCATAATTTATTTTTGGGATAATTTCATACGTACGTGGGTTTATATAAAAAAAAAATTAAAAAAAATCTATAAATGTAAAAAATATGGGGAAAAAGTATTTGTGTTGTACTTTAATACAACACCTGACTATTGATTTCTAATCAGACATTCAAAAAAGTTTAACCCAATTTCTTTTTGTTTTCAAAAGTTAGGGTTCTAACTTTTATTGTTGATCTAATTGTTATTGTCCAAAATCTGGCCTCCGGTATGTATTCTTGTATCCTTCTCATTTTTTTCTTATTTGTTTGCTTTTACATGGATTATCTATTCAAAATTTGATTTTAATCTTCGATTATAGGGTTATCCCACATATTGATAATTTATTATATTAAAATAATTATTGTTTGCTTTTCAAAATTTTAACTTTTGGTGGCAGACAGGCTGTAATGGTTCAAGGTGATAGTAAAACTAGTAAAATATTTATTTTAGGTGCTAAAATATTAATGGTGAATTTAATAATTTTAACCTCACTTAGACCAATATTGAAGATTATAACAAAAATGTTCTAAATTTGATGGTTGTTACTTTAGGTTAAGATGGTTATTCTTTTTTAAAATTTAGAACCCACTGGTCTGAAATTCTGGCTTTGCCTCTGACTTAACTAATGTGATATTATAACTGTTCACTGTCACACCCCTTTTTCGCGCACAGCGGCGGAAGGGTTTTTCCAATTTAAAGTGACGTTATTGATTTAGGGATTATTTTTATTTTTTCAGAGTCGCCACTTGAAATTGAGTTATGGTGTTCCAAGTCACCTTTTTGAATCCCTAATCAATAGGAAATGACTCTTTAATTTTGGTCTGCGAACCAGAAATTCAAGTAAGGAATTCTGTTGACTGAGGGGAAGGTATTAGGCATCCCTCGAGTCCCGTGGTTCTAGCACGGTTGCTTTTATTGACTTATACTTATTTTTACTATTTTTTTTTTGGTATAAGTTTTATAGGCCATGATTTGCTTTTTATTTGTTGAATTTTTATTAGTTTGAACCTAGATGCGTAACCGCATTCTTGGTCTTGACATTTAGAGACATAACTGTCTTCTTTCTATCACACTTAATAATCTTATTTTTTATAAGTCTCTACTTTGAATTAATAAAAGTTAATTGTATTATTGAATAAGGTGCGTCATCGCATCCTTGAGTTTCTTTTACTGTCTCAAGAAATATGTGTAACCACATTCTTAATCAAAACAAATATTTTTTATGTGCCTAAATGTTCGTCTAATGTTAAAATAAAATATTCTTGATTGAAACAATTTATTTTTTTTATATTCCTAAAACTCATCTAGTCATTAAAAGAAAAAACAAATATTTTTCCTTTATGCATAAAACTAAGTAAAGTGAAATAAATCTAAATATTGAGGATACGATATATAATTCTGACATTATTTCTATATCCTTTTACTTTATATTTTTATATGTTTTATTACTCTTAAAATTAGCGTCAATATTAAATATACACTTTCTAATCCAACAAAACAATATCGAATTGTTGAAAAATAAATCTCATTGTTGTTTTTGATAAAATAAAATAACAATATATTTTTTAGCCGAACAATTCCTATTTTTTATTATTAACATCTAAATCAAGACAAGAACTACACCATGACCCATTCATTTTAAGAGGTTACAACTAGCGATACAAAATAAATAAATAAAATAATCACTGATTGAAGCTACCTTCATTCGTTAAATAGAGATATAACAACCGACAAATTGTTCATTTCAATCAATTATGAATAAAACAAATATAAGAAAACTTTTCATAAAATTACATCAAATTCCATAAATAAATAAATAAAGAGATAAGGAAAAGTTGAATACCGCAAAATCTTAGTCGAACCTCGATTAGAACACCCACCAAGTTTTGTAGGTGATTTGTGATGGTATATGTGTTGTGTTTAAATAAAGTAGGAAAGATGTAAATGTGTTTGCAATTTTTTTTAAAAGGAAAATCAAATGAATGTGAAAGTTTTTCTACTTGTTTGCTGCGTGTTTCTTTGTTTCCTTGCTGATTCTTCTTTCTTTTTTTTTTCCTTTGGTGTTGTGCGTGTGTGTGTGTTGCCTTTTGTATTTGTTCTTTTTTTTTCCTCCGTCTTTCTGTTTTTTTTTTTTTTTTACGTATGTTGGTAAGTTTGATATATGTAGTAGTAGTGTGTATCGTGTGAGTATGTGTGTGTATAGTGGGGGGGGGGGGATTATGGTGTAGTGGGGTGAAATGGGGTTGTGGGGTAGTGGAGATATATATAAATATAAAATATAATAATAAAAAATATTAACTAATTATTTTTAATTAATATAAATATAAAAAAAAGTAGCTAGTTAAAAAATAATTAAGAAACACTAGTTTATTTATTAAATATACATAAAAGAAAACATATGTTTTTTGTAGTTTCCTAATCTTTTAAAATAAACTTACTAAAATACGATGAAAAATAAAATAAAATAAAATATTTGATTTATATAAAAAAGCAATATTCATGTACTAAAAATGATTTAATACCTTAAGTTCGGTCAAAAATTATGTGTCTACATTCACTAACAGGCATATCTTTTTCCGATCAGAAAGACATGTCCCTAAAAACATGCACCAAACCGACTACTTATTTGTTTAATGTTAGGCGAACTGTGAAACTGTTAACGTCCCTTCCGTTTGTCAATTGGATTAAAGTTTATGTATATATATTTTTTTTTATAGTATTTGTTTTTGGAGTTATTGAAATGTGGGGCAAATTATCTTCTGATTGCGTGTATAAAGTAATGAGATATTCCAAATTCAAAAAGTGAACATAATCTTCTTGACATCGTTATTAAAAAATGTCATTCAATTTGTAATTGAGGGAACAAGCTATAATTCATTACTTTTATAACCTAAGCCATAAATAGAATCAACTCATTTTGTGAAGACACACTTGCAATAATTGCATCTTAGTTTATGGGCATGGTTTGCCTAAAGTTAGGCA